GAAACACACTTGACCTTGGAAAAAGAACCTTTATAAGAATCACACTACATTTCGGACAATAAAATTTCATCCCTCCCCTGTTGCGCATTACCCGATGCGGTCCTGCGGTCCAAAACCTCGCTGGCTGGTTTCCAAGACAGTCTGCCAAATGACGGTCAGATAATGACCTTCAGCTGGTGGATCGATAATGGATTTTGTAACTACGCGTCCGGACGGAATCCGATATCAGATTATTATATAAAACGGTAATAGGTTTCGCCTTAATGTGTTTCATATTTTTGTCATCCCTTGGGAGTTGTTTGGTGCTCCTGTGTCTTTTTTATGTTATTTTAAATTTCTGTCGAGGTAACTAATTTGTTTACATTTGATAAGACGTTTAATCAAGCGTCGTATTTTTGGGAGATCAAAAAAAAATTTGTAGGCTTCTTAAGAAAAAAATGTTCCCTTCAATCTACTGCACGTGTGCATGCATCGTTCATACTATAAACATCCATATTAAGCTAATACATTTCAATGGTCTATCCTATTACAATAAAAAAGTTATGTTACCACAATAAAATTGCAAAATAACTTAACTTTGCTACTTAACTTCTAGATTAATATAACAAGCTTATATATAGATAACAAAATATTTTTCATAACTGTTCTCCAACTTTTGTATAACCACAAAATACGGCCAAAGTTTCCTCCCTCTGACCTACTATTGTATACACAGCATCAGTTATAATAACCAGTTTATCAAGATTTTGCTTTATATCATCACTTCGCATGTTCAACGGTCATTTTATACTGGTTTTTCAGCTTAGTGTCTAGTCGTGTGTACCTTCACCAACACCTGCTTGAAGATCGTTGGTTCTAAGGGCAAACGTGTGCATATTTAAATTTTATTAGCACTGGTGTACGTGTTACCCAAAATTCTCTTATTCTTCGCACCTGGTACCACAATAGTATAGGAAAATGTAGGTTTACGTTATACAAGAGGTGGTTAGATTAGCATTTTATGATAATATTTGCAGTTATTCTATGTGTAATTGCTAAGTGTTATTTTTTTGTTAAAGGTATCCGCAATACTCAAAGTAATTTAAAAGTTTCTTAACCCAACCTATAGCGATTGCTACCAGAAAAATCGTAACTAAGGAATTATTTAAGTATGTCTCAATGTACCATATACTAAGAATTCTATTCTATTCTCTCAGTACGGCAGTAAGTCTCGCACTTCCATAAAGACAGCATAGTTAAGTTTAATAACTAGTCGTAATAAGATTGACAAAGGTATAATACATACAATACTCACTCATCTATCTAACAGCGTGACCTAATCTTTAGCAACGCTTGGCACATACAAGTACAGATGGCAAGAAAACTTATATTGGATAATGCCCCGCAAAAACAACCTTTAAATCATTAAGGGCTATATTTCATCAGGACATCATGGCAGCGCAACTAGTCACCACCGTAAGCACAGGCCTGCGGACGGAGAGCATGGGTAGCTCGGTGTCCGACCAGAACCAGACACAAAGGTACGGCGCGTCGCCTTTCGCGTGAGCCTCAAAGAGCCATCAGACCACCACAGATAGGGCTAATGCCGATAAGGAGCCGTAGAGGACTTAACAAGTTGCCGGGGCTCCCGCTCGATGTGCAGGAGTTTGACACTACCTCCTGCTTCACCCAGACGGGATAAGTAATTCGATGATTTTCCTCCCTTAAAAAAAAACTAGTCACCACCATCAACAAAATGTATGGAGCTCTATACAGAGATACTCACCTAGTGGCGCGACGAGTTTGCTCATCCACACTGGTTACGCCACCACTAATTACTACAGCGCTCTATGGTGTGTTTCACATTCTGCTGTTATTCCAGCCACCACGGTGGCGCGACTGGTAGTGCAACCATGTCCTGGTAAAATATAACCCTAAGATTGTCAGCCCTTTATCCCTCTTCAAGACAATATCGCATTGCAGTAAAAATAAGCACAAAACACTAAACCTATACTTGGATCGAGGTCTTTGTAAGTCAGCTAACAGCTAAGACTCAAAGAAGTTTCTCTCCCATTGAAACTTTGCTTTTAAAACGATATAAATGGAGTCAGAATTAAGCGCGCTCTGCCGTCGAACACTGGGATTGTATTGTAGTCACATAATTTAATTTGTAACAGACTATGCTTTTGTGAAATTAAATGAAAATATAGCGGGTATGGATACGAATAGAGGCTTTGATCTAATCACCGAAGAAATGAGATTGTCGATTGCGCTGAAACAGTTTATAACAGTACTATAGTCAAACGATATAAACGATATTAAAGTATTTTTATGGAATGGTTTTTAGTTTCTGACCGCGACTTCGTACGCACAATTCGCACAAAACGGTTTTCTCCCGTTCCCGTAAGATTTTCAGGATTTTTTCTATCTTAAGAACCTTCTTCTTATAATAACAAAACAGCAAAAAAGAATTAGTGAAATCGGTCCAGCCATTTACGCGTGATGTCGTGACCAAGGGAAAAATGGATTCATTTTTATATATACAGATAAAATTTCTGGGAAAGTTGTGCCTGTATGTTTGTATTGTGTTTCAATCACATCAAAATAGTTAAAGGGATCGAAATTAAATTTGGAGCAGTGGTAGATTATGGTCTGGACTTACATAGGCTACTTTTTATCCCACGGAAAGGCGGGCAATAAACGTATGGAATATTGACCTTCCTTCTTTTACTTAGTTGCAATTTTAGACTTTGCACTTGAGATTACGTCAAGTTGATAGTGCGTGACCTATCTGAAAATCTTAAGGCTCCTTTGCTTGACAGTGTCCAAAGTATAATTATAGTCGTTGTAGTTAGCCAATAGCTTTAAAACCAGATGATAGCATCTGGTTTGTACCAAGCAAGTACTTTAACAAGCTACCTATGTAGCTTGTTAAAAAATGGAGAATGAGGAACATGAAACAAAGAATTGTTCGATATAAATAGCCTGACGTAAAATTACCAGAGAGTTTAGAATAAATAAAAAATGTCAACCAAAAATTAATGAAAATACATTAGAAAATAGTTCAGAGAAACACATCAATTTCATTTTTTGTGTTAAAAAACGGGATTTATGTTCCATGCCAGAACGTTGCAATAAAGAGTGACGATTCGTCATTAATTTACAAAAAAATCAATAGTCCCGAAGTGAGTAGCAATTATTGTTTGATTTTCGTAGAAAACCAATATGAGACAAAGCTTGATTGTATTTTACCCTATCAGTGGGGTTACCGATAGCCCACCACCCCAGCCATCAATCAAAGCACTTGTAACTTCTAGCGTGTTACGAGTACGGAGCGTCACGTTCCGCACGCGCCATAAAGAGACATCAGACCACCACAGATGGGGCCCAATAGGGCTGATGCCAATACAAAGCCGTTGAGAATGTAACAGGTTGCCGGGGCTTCAGCTCGAAGTGCAAGAGTAGGAACGGGGTGGTTTTTAGTCAGTAAGAGTCTGACACTCCCTCTCGTTTAACCCAGGGCAGGACAAGACAACGAGTGATTTTCCCCCCTCATAAAAAATAAAGATTGTTACAAGTGCACGTGAGCAACACTGATCACTTATCATCAAGTAATTCATCTGTTCGTTTCATCATCATCATCATACCAGCCACAAGGTGTAGACATACAAAAACCTCACGCTCGTCTCCCATGGCGGAAGGCTATGGATCGTCAATTGCTACAACCCTTACATACCTCTTTTGCTTCATCAACTGTCATCAATCTTTTCATGCATGCTCGACGGTTAAGGGTACTTTGACACCACTGCTAAACAAAGGCCTCCCTGTTCGTTTGCCTTTAAAAATCTGTTTGCTTTTCATTTTAATTTTAATAAATATGGATTATAATCAGTCAAGCCTATAATTATATTCCCTTTGATTAAAATCTTAATCCAAAGTTTCTTTTTAAATCTATTTGAACTCAATTAATTGCTTCCTCTAATTAGACAGCTTTAATATTCATGTTACTGACTTTAAAAGTCTTTAAGAATTCTTAATTGCTTCTTTCCAAATTGTGGTTCGCCTAATACTGTTTTATTAAATCGATTTTCTATTATTATCAAAAAATATTTTTAGTTTCATTCACTACAAGAGAGGTTTCAAACTATTCTGAAAAAGGTATAAAAAAAAAATTTAAACTCATTGTAAAAGAAACGGTGTATACTTAAAAGCCACATTTCGTTAGTACACTGTGGTAGCACAATCTGGTCGGTCGACTAAATCTGTATAAACATAACATAACATCACGCCTTTTATCCCCGAAGGGGAAGGCAGAGATGTACATTATGATACTGTACACTGAAACACTCACTTTTCACTATTTATGTTATGAGTCCCATGTAATAGGGGGTGAGCCTATTGCTATATACCGGGCACGTTTCCAGACTCCGTGCTAGTATTGAGAATGTTTTAAAACCCAGTAATAGTTTGCCCGACCCGGGAACCGAACCCGAGACCCCCTTGCGACCACTCGGCCAACGAGGCAGTTAAACTCTTACTTCAAAACTTTAAAAAAGTAAAACTGTATACTTACTGATAAAATTATACATAGTCTGTTTACTCCTACCCTTCGAGATCTGGTCTCAGTGATATACCGCGTCCAAACTCGGAGTAAGAGTCATTTGATCCCCCTCTCTGAAAACACAAAATAACAGACAAATTAATTGATCTCATAAAACACAATATCAGTAACAATATCTTAGTGTGAGTGTCAAAATCAGTTAGTCAGAGTTATCAAAGTTATCAAAATCAAGAGTTAGTCAGAGTTATCAAAATCAAAGACACAGCTTAAAGCTGATGGAACTATAAAATTCACTTAAACTTGTTGTCTTAAGTTAATTTAATCTAAGCTAAAAAGTAACTTTCACTGTTTGTGGTTGCATCTAAGTTATTACTTATTCAAACAATTGAGGATTGCTTACATAAAACTTTTGTTGCAAGTTTATGAATATTTACTTATAACTTATGTAGTTTATGTTAAAATGAAGTATTGTTAGTTTAAAAATATACTTTGGAATTTTATAATAAGTTTTCTTTTTATGTAGCTTTGCCCCATCCTGTTATATATTATTTTGTATTGGGTGAAGTATTTTTATAATGAAACTAGCGGTCTCGAATTTAGTTTCGCCTCACAATTTAGTTTTTTTTTTACATTAGACGATCCAATAACAAACTAACAAAAAATAATTAACGAAATCTGTTCCACATTCCTCGAGATTTGGCCTTAGTAAAAACACATTCAGCGATTCATTTATGATATTTTTTTTTTGTTTTTAAAAACGTTGCGCCACACTAAAATATTCTCCTGTGTCGTGGTAGATACACATGATACCCAGATCCGGAACAACAATTTGTGGATCACACAAAGAGTTGTTCCGTGCGGAAATCGAACCCGCGACACGTTGCGCGGCAGCCAGTTGCCCAGCCAGCCAGTCAATTATAGGTGGCATGTTTCCAGAACATTCAAATTCTTTTGTATTCATTTTCAAACACAAGTTCATCAAATTTAGACCAGGGTCAACAAATACATGAAATATTGTGGTACTCGAAACTCATTAGCAACAGCGTGGGCGGTCGCGGCGACGTCGCGCAGCTCACTCTTCGTTGCCGCGACCGCGCACGCTGCTTATGAGGAAGAACCCCTCTGTGGTTCGAAACTAAGAGCTTTTCTCAGTATATTCACGATAGTTATTATAAAAATCATTAGCGACACATTGTATTTACAGTCAATCGCCCAGTCACTACACAGTCTGTTATTTTTCTCTCTAACTACATACAAACGCCTTTCTTTTCATTACTATCTATAGCTACCTACTAATACCACGTAATATAAGGAATGAAATTAGACTCCAAGACGCAGGATAGTACCTATCTTGGATCAGAAAAAGTCTTATTTGGAAATTCTAAGCAAACCCACAGTTAGGCTTTGAAGGAAATATATGTCAATAGGTTCGCCCTACATTTAGATAGAAAACATGCTACAAATAAAAGAAACATCTACTATATTAAAAAGATTTTTGTACCGTATACCATCACCAACAGCCTATATGCGGCCACTGCTGAACAAAGCCTCTTCTCACACGGAGAAGGTTTGAGCATTAATCACCACGCTTGCTCATTGCGGGTTGGCGATTTCAAACTTATAATAAGAAATTATAAGTCCAGGTTTCCTCACGATGTTTTCCTTCACCGTTTGTCAGTGGTATCTAAATAATCTTAGAAAGTACATATAACTCGGAAAAAGTCACATTGATACTTGCCGTTGGTAGGTTTCGAACCCATAGTTAGTTGACTGTTTATTATTAGAATTTTTTATAACCATCAAACCTTATAAAGATCTAGAAACCAATGGAATGATATACACCGATGTACGTTCATTGAAATAATCAAGTGGCTTGCCGAAAACTCAACATAAGTCAACTTTATGTCACGACTCGATATTTTAGTCGAATTAGTCATTGAAACAAGGAATCAATGGCAACCATAGCAGCCAAATAAATCAACGAGGTAATATTTAATTAACTAACAAAGGTGCTTAGAACTAGAGGTAAGAAGCACCTTTAATCAATTTCATCATAATTTAGAAACTTGTGAAGATATCCTATACTGAAGCGATTCCTCTAATTTCGTTGGAAGCCGAAGAAATATCTTTGGATAACAGGAAATATTCGATTTACCAAAACGTTGCCAGAATATCGTTTTACTTTCGCAATTTTATTTTTGTTCACCATCCAAGTTATAGGTTTACTCATGTCTGATTAAACAAATCTTGCGGAGATTGATTTTTTCCATTTATCGAAATGTTATTTCTAAGATTAGTTAAATATATGAAATCGATATTTTGAATTATATTGAAATATTGTTTCTTAATGTCTTCCGTTTAATGAGCTGACATTAAAACTCCATTTCTTTTTTTTACAGATGGCGTTTTCAGGAACGAGGTAGAAGCGCGCGGGCGCGGTACGGAGTCAGCGTTCCTCGGCGAGCTACACTCGACGCTGGCGCCCCCTGCCGCGCCCGACCACGACTGGCAGCACACCCTCTCACTTATACTCAAAGGCCTCGTCTTTACAACCATCATTATCGGAGCTCTCTTCGGCAACGCCCTCGTCATCATATCTGTCCACAGACACAGAAAACTTCGCGTCCTGACGAACTATTACGTCGTCAGTCTAGCCGTAGCTGACATGCTCGTCGCATTATGCGCGATGACCTTCAACGCAAGCGCTGAACTGACTGACACTTGGCTATTTGGCCCTTTAGTCTGTGATATCTTCAACTCCCTTGATGTTTACTTCTCCAGTGCATCAATACTTCACCTTTGCTGCATATCCGTTGACAGATATTATGCTATAGTCAGACCTCTGGAGTATCCAGTCACTATGACTCATAGAACTGTGTGTTTCATGCTAGCAAATGTATGGTTATGGCCAGCCTTCATCAGTTTCGTGCCAATATTCATGGGCTGGTATACCACAGAACAGCATCGCCAAGAAAGATTACACCATCCTGATGTTTGTATGTTCAAAGTGAATATGGTTTACGCTATTGTATCATCAAGCGTATCTTTCTGGATACCCAGTCTAGTTATGATATCAATGTACTGTCGAATATTTAGAGAAGCTATTAGACAAAGGGAAGCATTGACGAGAACTTCTTCAAATATTCTTCTGAATTCTGTCCATATGAAGCACACTTCGCATTCAGCGCATCATTCACATTACCTGCATCCCGAAAGAAGGCCATCTGATATCAGCCCGAACTACAGTACGTTTACAGAAGTAGGCCCAGAAGAGACTGAATTTGGTGGAGAAGTTATGATGGCTATAGGGGACATCTGTCCAAGTAAAGAGGCTAGTCCAAGAAAGTCGGTGAATGTAAGCTGTGATACTGCAAGTTCTGGTTATTGTTCTGGAGGGTCTAACAAGAGATCTTCGAGTGGACAGCCACCTCCTGGATGGAGACCAAGCTGTTCTTCTGCCGTGGCGACTAGAGACCTAGCAAAAGCTGCTACAGAACTCAACGCTCAAGGTATGTATTTGTAATTGTGTATCGAACATTGAAATTTTGTTAATTAATTGACATTAAGAACTTTTCCGTTCTATTATCGTACTTCAGTAATCGAAATAGAAAATCCCAATAACATCCAAATCTGTGTTTTATCATGCTTGGACATGAGGAGATGCTTGGAAAACGCACTAATCTACTTCACCGTCGAACCAGTCAAATTAATTTACGTCAACAATATTACATTATTGTATCTATTTATACCGGATAGTCCCTAACAAAGCGGATCATTTCATCCATTTGTATAGGTTAAATGATTTCTATGAAACAAGAGAGGGTCGCGATCCGGCTAAGCAAGGACAAAGGCGGATCCCTTAAATCTTCGAGTATCACTCAAATACAAGTGTTATCATGTCCTTGTAATATTTCCAGTAAATCTAGGATTTATTTCGATACAATAAAAGCTATTGGGAATAACAATTGAAGATACAAGAATGTCTGAACAATGTGACTAGATAAAGTGAAAAAAATGATGAGTACGCGTCTGGGATAAATTGGGCTGTTTCTTGTAAATTGAAATTGACAAGTAAATCGTTTCTTACTTCATATGTACGACATTTTGTAAAGGCGTAGGTTGAGATATACATATTGACAAATCACTCACTATCCATCAACTTTATAAGTTCAATAATGGACGATTTTAGAAATATAAGTTACTATGAAGCTTTGGATGCTACAAATTGATGTGTATCCTTAGTTTGTCGTACAATCAAAATTGACCGAAATATGATACACTTTTCATACAAAATTTACGTTGTAATGTGACGTCATAGTACAACGTCCCATACATTGTATTTTTAAACATAGTGAACCGTAGTATGTAGGTAATAGTCATTATTAAATCATCAAATCCTCAATCGGTGTAAATATAATATAACTGGTAGCATTGCCATTCAAGATGGTAATACTGCCAGTCTTCTAGGTCTGTTTCCTAGTGACAGTGATGCGGACGAATTCTTTGATGCCTAACTGACAGAATTTATTTTTTTATGTTATCTTGTTTTTATTATTCTTTTAATCGCTGTATTAATTTTAGTCAATTTTAAGGTAGTAGGTATATATTTATTCATATTTTGTTATTTATTAATGAAGGTATTTGAAGACATAAATGCATTGGTACACTACTTACTTAATTTACGTCACAGTAAGATTCTCCATTGTTATGCTTGAGCGAATGAAGAATAATGTCATTGACTTTGACCATCAACAATTTCTATTGCAAAATTTGAGAAAAAACAATAACCTTCATTTACTTCTGTTATACCCATGACCTTAAATCACTGCAGCAGTATATCTTATTCTCCTTAAGTTTCCATCTTGAATCCAAGATTCTACTTGAGCGATTAACTTCCAATTTCGAACTGAGACACTCGAGCGAAGTGACTCTGAACTAATAAAGATAACAAATCGGAACGGAGTAGATGTTCAACCGTCTAAATGGTGAGAAAGTTAAATTTTACCGTTTGTCATGAAGATAATGATCAGTTTGGCACTTACCCGATACCGGTGTACCCAGCAACCCTTGTAATAGCTGAAAGTTTCAACTATGTAGAACCAGAATTTATAGTAGACGTCTTGATCAAAGGTGTTCCTACAGAGTTTAGAAGTTAGCTTGTCAGTTCTTATTGAAATAAATTCTTTATAAAATAGTTTTGAAACTTCTAGCTTTTTGATGGCAACTTTTGCGTGATGTTCTAAAATAAGATACTGTGGTGCGTGATAATTTGGTGAACAGTAAGTAGAATTAAACTGTCAAACACCGAGCGGTCACCGGTGACCGCAACCTATTGTTCTTTAATTGTGTCTATAATGACGGTATTCAAAGAGTTAAACTCAACATTGAATTGACTGTAAGATTTTCGTGTTAACTTCTCGCTAACCGCATAAACATACCGTAGGTACTATACGCAGTCAATCCAGTAATTGATGTTAAGTAGTCGTATGGCACTAACCATGATTAGACAAATATAACCTAATCCATAATTTTATTTTATTCTAAAAAAAATCGTTGCTCCACTCTAGGATTTTCTCCTGTATCATGGGTACGTTTGCAAACATCAGACTTCACAAACACATGACACCCAGACCCGAAACAACAATTTGTAGATCACTCAAAGTGTTGCACCATGCGGAAATTGATCCAGCTACAGGTTGCGCGGCAGCCAGTTGCCTAGTCACCGCGTCAACTGTGTAGTCATAATTATCCTCTTAGTACTCATTACCATTGGGCTCGCTGTCATTGCAGCGGTAAGTCCCCTCTTTGAGGAGTGGCTTGAGAGACGCTACAGCGTCCTCACCTACCGCCTGACGCAGGTGCTTACCGGACACGGAAGTTTCGGTAGGTTTCTCTTTTGGATTGGGCGGGAGGAAATGCCCAGGTGCCATCACTGCGAGGATCGTCCGGAGGACACGGTGGAGCATACGGTGGTGGTGTGTCCTGCGTGGGCTAAGCACCGCCGTGTCCTCAGGGATGTGATCGGCGACGGCGACCTCTCGCGTCCGGTTCTGATCGGCGGTCTGGTTCAGACCATGGTACGGAGGGACTGGGATGCCGTCTCCTCCTTCTGCGAAGCAGTCATGCTAGTTAAGGAGGCGGCGGAGCGCGTGAGGGAATGAACCTCCTCACGCCCGCGAGAGACATTCCGGGCATCGGGGATCGCGATACGATCTCCGGCCACCGTAAGCACGGGCCTGCGGACGGCAACGGAGAAGAGTCTGACACTCTCTCCCGCCTCACCCGGGCGGGAGAAGTCATTGGATGATTTTCCCCCCTCAAAAAAGAAAAATTACTCATCATTCACTAAAATACAATTTCTAACATTCAAAAGTAATTACATTTTAGTAGTTTCGCCTTAGTGCATTAAAATTTAAGGCCTCTTAAGAATCCTTTCAAAACTAATGTCTGTTTAAGAGAGAATCTTAACAATATTCAAAGAGCATTATCGTTTGGGAGTAGCCATAGTGAACTTGCGAAGTAGTCTATAAAATGGAATAGCATACTTCGTGTCTCTATAGCATCTCGCATGTAGAAACAACTTATTCTGAAACGGGTTTATTATGTTCTGTACCATTTTCTAGCATTAGATATTGATACTATTTTTTACATTAGCTATTGATACTATTATATTGTTTCGTTTGTATTGTCATTACCGTCAGCGTTTTAATTTGAATCTCACATGACCAGATTTAACAAAAATTCTTCGTAAAATACTTACTACTGGAAAATACTTTTGGTAGAAGTAAATTTGAGCACGACTTATTGCTAATATGATTTTTTTTAAACGTTACCCCATACTAGAGTTTTCTGTTATATCATGGGTGCATTTACAAACATAGAATATTATATTCACATAACAATCAGCCCCAGAACAACAATCTATGGATCACACAAAGAGTATGATCGATAATAGTATGCAGGAATCGAACACGTTGCTCGGTAGCTAACCACGCGACAACCGTGCAGTCTATTGAAATCTTAAATGCTTTCATAACTTACGAAGGTTTGGTCTCTCATTTGGAACTTACCTAATAGACAATGCACTATGAAATTTATATCGTTTTCGTCCCGAAGCTGTCGTTCGTTTCGAAGTAACATGGTTCTGTCACGCTAATAAAATGGCTTTACAAAGAAGTAAAATCTATAAAACAAAAAATGACTAGCAAACCATTGCAAAAAGCAAACTTCGAAAACGCCTATGAGCTCATAGTACACACGGCTACACATCGAGCTTTACATAACCAGAATAAACTGAACGTTAAATGTGGGGAAAGATGATGCGACGCGACACCAGGATAAACTGGTGTTGTGTAGATTGATGTGTGGCCGTGTGTACATTATCAGAACATCAGGCCAATTCATTCTCAAAGAGGTATTTCTAGTCAAGTGGCAAGTTCGATGCAAATAGTGTCAATAAATTTACATCTATTGTGTCAAGTGCGTAAGTCGATTAATAAAAAAAAAATTGACATATTTATTTTTTATTTTTTACTTTATACGTCGAAAGTATGGCAAGTAGTTTTGCTGAGGGACATAAATGAAATAGATTTTACGGTATATTTAATGTCTCATTTATTTTGTAATAATTATTATCCAGTACTAGCTGTTGCCCGCGACTTCGTTCGCATGGATTTGTGATTCACAGCTCCTCCCCTTTAGATAATAGCGTGATAATATATAGCCTATGTGTTGACCCGACCTGTTAGTAATATTCATGTAAAATTTGAAGTAAATTCATGCAGTACTTTTTGAGATCATCCCAGACATACATACAGACAAACAAACAAACAAACAAAAATTCTAAAAAACATAATTATTTCTGGTTTCGGTATTACGATCAGCGATCACGCTCCAAGTATTCTTTTTAAAAAATATTCAATGTATGTACACTTTTGACTTTTCTACGACTTTATTATATGTACATATATATGTAGATATATATTACAAGTGTTACACCAAACTCCACATTGAATGCAAAACTTCTAAAATCACGCGAACCACACTTCCCAAACGATGTCACTGCGTCTTATAACCACTTGACAGTATTTATATTTGAGCCCGGATCAAGGAAAAATTTTCTTTTGGACAAAAAAGACGAAACATTTAATGGTTCCTTTGGCTTGTACAAAGTTTGTTCAAAGTCTCCAGTCCAATGATCCTACTTGACCCCTCTCGATGATACTTAGCCGATTTTGTTATACTTTCATCCTTTCCATGCCTCAGTTTTAAGTGTATGTACCACATATAAGGGTCTTAGTTGAACGCAAAGCCAAAGGTTTTTTGGGACACTTCTTTCTTCAGCATAGTCAAAGAATATTATTTTTATAAACCAATATTTTAATAGTATTAGTAGGTTATTTTGTTCTGACTTACATGGTAACGTTCTTACTTTAGTTATACGTCTGAATCCATTCTACGTACTGTGTTACACATGACACATTTACAGATGAAATGAAAAAAATAACTGCTCGGAACAATAGT